AACTCCTGCCATGGGCTGGTGGAGGGGGACATTGGTCAGGCCCCAGTGACACCAGTGCTCGTAGCTGTCAGCTCTGGGAGCCCCAGCCTGAGAGCTGCAGGGATGCCCCGTGCCAGGCGGGCTCAGGGTGGGCTCTGCCCAGACCTCGGCCGTGCTTCCCACCTTGGAGGGGAGCGTGAGCTGCCCTCAGCAGCTGCGGGGTCCCAGAGGAGACACAGGTTCCTCAGGAAATGCTGTGCTTGGAAAACAAAACAGGATTTCTGCCCTGTTGGTTGGGAGCCAGCTTGGGCCGAAGCCAGATCTTGGAGGAGCGTTTCCTGATGCTCCCGTATCCTTCCAGGCTGTGGGAGGCACTTGCTCCAGCTGCATCAGCATGCACTGGGGCTGGGCTGTGGGATGGGGGTTCTGGGGCTGCCTGGGGCTCACCCTGTGCTGTGCTGGTCCCACACACCTGCTGCTGCTGTGGGAGTGGGACAGGAGCTTCGGGCAGCCCTGGGCAGGGTCACCTCCCAGAGCTGGGATTGCCCCTCAGAGCAGTTCTCTGGTGTTCTTTTCTGCCCAGGATTGTCCTGGTGCTGTTAGTCACAAGGTGTTTACGTGTACAGCCTGGTTCTGTGAAACCATAAAACAATCTCATAACCCAACCGTGCTACGGAAGTAACTGGGACCCATAAATGCATTATCTGTGCTGGGAGCTCGCTGGGAGCTGCTGACTGTGCAGGCAATGCTGAGCTGAGCCAGGTGCAGGAGCTGAAGGGGGTTGCAGCCACTGGCACAGCCTGGCTGCTGCCTCGAGGCTGGCTGCAGTTTCTGGGGTTGCAATGTTCCTTTCCCTGCTCTGGCTGTTCTTCCTTGGACCCGAGGGGTCCCGGGGGAGGAGCAGACTCCCTTGGCAGCTCCGTGCTTTCTCTGTGCCTGTGCCACAGTCCCGACCTTGCTAAGCGGAGCGGCCAGGCTCTGGCCTGGCTGTCTGAGGAGAAGGAGCTCCTGGGGCGAAGCGTGCTGCCCAGCGAGGGCCCTGCTGCCTGCTGGGCTCGTCCCTGGGACCATGGCTGCTGTGACCTGGCTGCTGGCCCAGGCAGGGAGCAGCCTGTGTCGGGGTGGCACGGGCTGTGCCAGCGGAGCCAGCTGCACCTGGCTGCTGCGGGGGCTGCCGTGTGCCCGTGGGTGGGTGGGTGGGTGTCATCTCCAGTGGGGTACAGGTGGTAAGTGGAGCCTGGGGGCTCCCCATGCCAAGGACCCTGGCCACCCTTTCGCTCTCCAGGCAGCTCAGAAGGGGACAGGGGTAGATTTGTGTCCCCTGGGGAGATGCTGGCCCCTGACATGCCTCCACACTGGCACTGCAGCTGCTGCAGGCCAGGACCGAGCCCTCAGCCTTCTGTTCCCTCCGTGCCTCCCTGGCAGGTCCACCACATCCTGCAGGAGATGGTGATCGGCGGGATGGTGCTGGAGACCAATATGAACGAGATTGTGGCGCAGGTGGAGGCCCAGGGCAAGCTGGAGAAGGCAGAGGTGAGCAGTGACGCTGCGGCTGTGCCCCACGGGAGTGACAGACCCTGGGCTGCGAGGGGGTGGCCCGTGGGGACTGAGGTGGGTGTGGGGGGGTATCCAGGTGTTCCCAGGCTCTGCCTGCTGAGCCCTCGGGATGGGACTGGGGACATCCCTGCCCAGCGGTGCTGGTCAGGAGTGCAGGGGGCTGCCCGTGGAAGTGGTTCTCTTGTCACGGTCCATGAGCCCAGGCCAGTAAAGGTTTAACAAAGATGCGGCTGCGGAGGGGCTGTGGCGTGGGGCCCCTGGTCACGGTCCCTCTGTCCCCAGGGAGGCCTCTCAGCTGCTCCTTCCCGCGCCGTGTCGGCTGTGAAGAACATCAACCTGCCCGAGATCCCCCGCAACATCAACATCGGGGACATCAACATCAAAGTGCCCAATCTGTCACAGTTCATGTGAGCAGCCCGTGCTGGGGGCTGCCCGCTAAGCAGAGCTGGGGTCCCGGGCTCCTGCCGGGGCTCTGCCATGTGCCACACAGGGGCCGGTGGTGGCCGAGGGCAGGAGTGGTGACAGGGCTCAGAGAACGAGCTGGGGAGTCCCTCCCTCTGCACCTGGGCTCAGCTCTGCTCTCTGGTCCCCCAACAAGGAGGGTGCTCTTCCCTCCTCTCCCTCCCTGTGGACACACAGCCTCTCCTCGCTGTGGGGAAGGGTTGGCTCCTGCCTCTCCTGGGGTTCGTGGGATTCCCAGAGGTGGAAGTGTGCCTGTAGTGACACTGTCAGGAGCTGCAGGTTGTCTCCTCCACCCTCCCAGCCACGGCTGTGCCCTGCCCTGGTCCTGCTCTCTGTGATGGGCCCGGGCTGAGTGGGGGTCACTCATGGGAGCTGCTGTGTGCCCTGGGGACAGTGTGAGTGGGACATGCTGGAGCGGGAGTGTGGCAGCAAGAGGGACAGGAGCTGTGACCTGGGGGGCTTGCAGGGCCAGGCCAGGCTGGGGCTGCTGGAGTGGGTCCTGTGTCCCAATAAACTGCCCTTGAAGCCGTGTCTGTGTCTGCTGTGGGTGCTGCTGGCCGGGGAGGGGGCCGGGGGCTCTGTGCAGCTCTCGTGGGGCAGCTGCAGCCCTGGGGGGCTTTTGGCTGGTGGGGGCCCAGGGGGTGCGAAAGGGGGCCCCAGATGCCCCAGGGGAGGGCAAGGGCCTTAGGGCCGCGTCCCTGGCTGCACCCTCTGCTCTCAGAGCGGGTGTGGGGACGGTGATGGCCATGCTGAGGCTGAGACGTTCCCAGCTTTGGGCCTTAGTGGCGGTTCACCCTTTGCCAGTTCCTGCAGGGCAGCAGCTCTGGGAGCTCTGGCCGCTCTGTGGGTGTGTGGGAGCTGTGGGGCTGGGGTCCTCTGAGGTTGGGGAGGAGCAGGGCTCGTCCTGGGGGTCACAGTGATCCCGATGGGCTCTGTCAGCCATGTACCCCACGCCCCTGGCTCCACCACAGCTCCATCTGGCCACCAGCCCCTGGGCCTGGCCGGGGCCCTTCCTCTGCTCCCCAGCTGTGCTCCAGGTTCTGCCTCCACTTCCCCTGGCAGGGAAACCGTGACTCTGCCTAGAAGGAATTTCCCCTCCCTGCAGCTTAACCCTTCCGCAGCTGGCCACTAGCCACAGGAGCTCTCCTGGAGGTCAAGGAGCTGGGCAACCTGCTGTGTCCTCTTCTCCGCGGGCTCTGCTCTCCCTCCGCTTCCTCCTGTTCCTCCTCCTCCTCCTCCTTGTCCTCTTGTAGGTGCCGGCGAAGGGTGCAGGTGAGCCACCGTGCCCGGGCCGTGTCCCGGGGCTGGGGCGCGGGGTCCGGCAGGACCGGGGCGCTCGGAGGGGACCGCTCCGGCTCAGCTCACGGCGAGGGGTGGCGAGGCACCGGCGGGGAGCGGGCGAGCTGCTCTGCGCCCGGCCGGGGCTGCGGGGCTCGGCTGCCGCGGGCAGCGCCCGTGTCCGGCCCCACGGCACCGCATCCCCGTGCGCTGGGGCTGTGCCCGGCCCCACACCATCCCCGTGCCGCTGGGGCTGTGTCCGGCCCCACGGCATGCCCGTGCCGCTGGGGCTGTGCCCGGCCCCACGGCATCCCCGTGCCGCTGGGGCTGTGTCCGGCCCCACGGCATGCCCGTGCCGCTGGGGCTGTGTCCGGCCCCACGGCATGCCCGTGCCGCTGGGGCTGTGTCCGGCCCCACGGCATCGCATCCCCGTGCCGCTGGGGCTGTGTCCGGCCCCACGGCATGCCCGTGCCGCTGGGGCTGTGTCCGGCCCCACGGCACCGCATCCCCGTGCCGCTGGGGCTGTGTCCGGCCCCACGGCATCCCCGTGCCGCTGGGGCTGTGTCCGGCCCCACACCATCCCCGTGCCGCTGGGGCTGTGCCCGGCCACTCGTGCTCCCCGTGCCGCTGGGGCTGTGCCCGGCCACTCGTGCTCCCCGTGCCGCTGGGGCCGTGTCCGGCCACTCGTGCTCCCCGTGCCGCTGGGGCCGTGTCCGGCCACTCGTGCTCCCCGTGCACCGCCCGTGGCGGCTCCGCTGCCGGCTCCGGCCCCGCCGCCCCGGGCCGGCCGCTCTGCGGGGCGTGCGAGGCTGGGGCCGGGAGCCCCTCTGCCGGGACCCCCATTGCCGAGAGCCCCATTACCAGGAGCCCCACTGCCGGGAGCCCCATTGCTGGGAGCCCCACTGCCGGGAGCCCCATTACCGGGAGCCCCACTGCCGGGAGCCCCATTGCCGGGAGCCCCACTGCCGGGAGCCCCATTGCCGGGAGCCCCATTGCCGGGAGCCCCACTGCCGGGACCCCCATTGCCGGGAGCCCCACTGCCAGGAGCCCCATTGCCGGGAGCCCCACTGCCGGGACCCCCATTGCCGGGAGCCCCATTGCCGGGAGCCCCATTACCGGGAGCCCCTCTGCCGGCCCGGCCGCTCTCTGTCCCAAGCCCTGCTGAGGCTGGGCCGAGCCGGGTGGAGGGCGCTGGGAGGTGTCAGGCTGTGGGGTGTGTGAGGCCAGACCCCAAGGGACCCCTGTGCCCACGGGGGTGACACCAAACCCTGTGGGAGATGCGTGTGCTGCTGGCCAGCTCCAGAGAGGGGTCGTGTGGGGTGGGACAGAGTCCTGCAGGCTGGGTGCTGTGTCTGCTGCTCCCCGCTAACCCCAGCCAGCCCCTCCAGCCAGCCTCCCCTGCGTGCTGTGCCCCCGGGGCTGTGGGGAGGGCCAGCAGGGACAGGGGGTGTGCAGAGTGCCTGGCACCCTCCCGGCCACCTGTGGCCTTGGTCCTGTGGGGGTCTGTCCCCAAAGCCTTTGGCCAGGGCCAGGCTGGGGATGGTTCTGAGAGCCAGCAGTGACCTCTGGGCCTGGGGCACGGCCGTGCCTGACAGGGAGTGCCAGGGACACCAGCAGCATCCCGAGTGATTTGTGCAGCTGGGTGCTGCCAGGGACAGGGCAAGGGTTCCCTAAAGACACCGCTCACGCATCCTGGTTTGCCCTTTGCCCCAGCTGTAGCTTCTGGCAGCACCTTCCCATATCTCCTAACGGAGAGATCGATTAGATCCTGAGAATGGGACTTCCTATTTCTTCCCAGTGTGGACAGGATCTGTTACCCACCCCCACCCCACCCTGGGTGGGGACCTCACCTGTGGCCACTGGGGCTGGGCTCACAAGGACGGAGTTTGACCCCACTGCCTCCAGGTTCGTGACCCTGGACTTTGAGAGGGCTGTGAGCAGAGGGAGCTCCTCCCAAGTGTCCTCCCCCACATTCCCGTGCCCTTTCTAGACCCCTGTGCTGCACTATGCTGCCCCGCTTTGCCTGGGTGGGGCAGCCTGTGGGCTGTGCCCCCCGCACGCAGGGGCAGCCTGGACCCTCTGAGAGAGGGTCAGACACTGTCACTCGAGGGTGAATGGGGTGACACTGAGTCTGTGGCTGGGCTCGGCTGATGGGGACGCGCGCTGGGCCCCGCAGCACGTCGTGGATGTGGCTGCTGGCTGCGACCACCCGCTCTGTCCCTCCTTCTGCAGGGTCAGGCCAGCGCTGGGGAAGGACGCCGGGGGTCCAGGCCCACAGCCCGTGCACGCTCCCCGATGGTGCCACCCCGCACCGCCAGCTCTGCCCCCGCAGCAGCGGCTGCACCGGGCCTTGGTGCTCCTGCCAGGCTGGGGGGCGGGCGGGGGGAAAGCTCATCCCAGGGTCTGTCGCCGCCCTGAACCCCATGGCCACTTAATCCTTCACCCATTAACTTGGACTAATAAACCTCGTGGGAGCGAGAGGCTAAAAGCCGTGCTCGCACCAGCGCCGTCCCCGCCAGTGCCGCTCCTGCTGCCCGCCATGGCAGGCGGCTTCTTCATCAGCAAGACCGTGGGCATTGTGGCCATTGTGCTGGGCCTGGGGGCTGTGGCCACCATCATTGCACTCTCGGTGGTGTACGCCCAGGAAAAGAACAAGGGGGTATCAGATGTGGGCACCAGCACCACAGCCAGCCCGGGCACCAGCACCACGGCCCGCCCGGGCACCAGCACCACAGCCCGCCCGGGCACCAGCACCACAGCCCGCCCAGGCACCAGCACCACAGCCCGCCCGGGCACCAGCACCACGGCCCGCCCGGGCACCAGCACCACAGCCCGCCCGGGCACCAGCACCACAGCCCGCCCAGGCACCAACACCACGGCCCGCCCGGGCACCAGCACCACAGCCCGCCCGGGCACCAACACCACCACCCCTGCTCCCAACAACCCCTGGAACCAATGGAGGTTGCCAGCCACGCTGAAGCCGGAGTTCTACGAGGTGTCCCTGCAGCCCTTCCTGAAGCCCGATGCCAACAACATGTACATCTTCAAGGGCAACAGCAGTGTGGTCTTCACGTGTGAGAAGGCCACCGACCTCATCCTCATCCACAGCAAGAAGCTGAACTACACCATGCAAGGCTCCTTCCATGCCACCTTGCGGGCAGAGGGTGGTGGCAATGCCCCTGCCATCTCCCGCACCTGGCTGGAGACTCCCACCGAGTACCTGGTGGTGCAGCTGGGCGCTCCCCTGCAGCAGGGCCAGCGGTACCGGCTGTCCAGCAGCTTCACCGGGGAGCTGGCCGATGACCTGGCTGGCTTCTATCGCAGCGAGTACACGGATGAGGCAGGCAACAAGTAGGTGGAGGGCAGGGCTGGGGTGGAAGCCACAGGGCTGGCCCAGTGTGGTGGTGGGAAGGGGAATGGGGGCACGGGGCTGGCTTTGGGGCTCCTCTCCCACCAGGGCTGTGGGATGGGTGTGTGTAGCCTCTGTGCCCCCCTTGCATCCTCATGCTGCCCCAGTGGGGGTGGGAGAAAGGGGACTGGGGGGTGCAGCCTCCACCAGACCCCCAGGACTGATGGGGTTGGCTCACAGGCAGGTGGTGGCCACCACGCAGATGCAGGCGGCTGACGCACGCAAAGCTTTCCCCTGCTTCGACGAGCCGGCCATGAAAGCCAACTTCACAGTGACGCTGATCCACCCGTCCGGCTATGGGGCCATCTCCAACATGCCTGCCAAAAGTGAGTGGGGCAGGGGAGCCCCGCTGGGGGGCTGGGGACCTGGCAGGGCTGTGGGGTGATTCTCTGATCTCCACAGACACCAGGGAGCAGGTGATTGATGGAGCGATCTGGAATGTCACTGAGTTTGACACCACTCCCCGGATGTCCACGTACCTGCTGGCCTTCATTGTCAGCCAGTTCACCAGCGTGGGGAGAATATCGAACAACACACTGGTAGGATGGGGTGGGGTGCACCCCCTGCCCACCTGGGTGGCTGAGCCTGGGCCACTGATGAGTCCTGCGTCCTCCTCTCCAGATTCGTATTTGGGGCCGCCCCAAAGCCATCAAAGAGGGCCAGGGTGACTACGCGCTCAATGTCACTGGTCGCATCCTCAACTTCTTTGAGAAGCATTACAACACGTCCTACCCGCTCCCCAAGTCTGGTGGGTGCTGTGGGGCACCTGGGGCACTGGGCTGAGGTGCCCACTGCAGGGGGAAGATGGTCCAGCGTGCTGCCAGCAGGGCACTGACAGGACCCCTCTGCCCCCAGACCAGGTTGGCCTCCCCGATTTCAATGCGGGCGCGATGGAGAACTGGGGGCTGGTGACCTACCGGGAGAACTCGCTGCTCTTCGACGCCGTGTACTCCTCCATCGGCAACAAGGAGCGGGTGGTGACCGTCATCGCCCACGAGCTGGCACACCAGGTACCTGCTGCGCCCCCGCCTGCGCCCCTGCCCGACGGCTGGCGGCTGAGGGAGTGCTGTCCCTCTGCAGTGGTTCGGGAATTTAGTGACGCTGCGGTGGTGGAACGACCTGTGGCTGAACGAGGGCTTCGCCTCGTACGTGGAGTACCTGGGTGCCGACTCTGCTGAGCCCTCCTGGAACATCGTGAGTGCCCGGGACGATGGGCGTGGGGCGGGCAGGGCAGCGGCACCCCGGGGCTGCCCCGGTGCCAGGCGGTACGCGCGGGGCTGAGGCGGGTGCTGCTGCCCCTCTGCAGAAAGACCTGATGGTGCTGAACGAGCTGCATGCCGTGATGGCGACAGACGCCCTGGCCAACTCCCACCCGCTCTCCTTCCGCGAGGAGGAGATCAACACCCCAGCCCAGATCAGCGAAGTCTTTGACAGCATCTCCTACAGCAAGGTGTGCACGGGGTCCCTGGGGTGGGGATGGACTCTGGGCTGCCCCTGGCTTCTCTCACCTGCTGTCCCTGCAGGGAGCATCGGTGCTGCGCATGCTCTCGAGCTTCCTTAGCGAAAACGTCTTCAAGGAGGGGCTGCAGGTGAGGTGCTGCTGGTACTGGGGGGCAGCGAGCCCAGTGCAGGGTGGGCATCCCATGGTGGAGGCCTTCCCAGCTGCTCTAGGGGGGTCCCACACCCCAGACTTGTCCTTGCTCACCCATCTCTCCTGGTGCTCTCCCACAGTCCTACCTCCACACCTTCTCCTACAGCAACACCATCTACACTGACCTCTGGGTCCATCTGCAAGAGGTAGGAGCGGGCTGGTGCTCCTGCAGCATCCCAGACCCTGGCTCGGGGGGCTGCCTGGTGGGACAGGGCCCCACGTGCTGGGTGAGGGTTGCAGCGCTGGCCGAGCCCCACGCTGGCCGTGCCCCTGGCCCTGGTGACCAGCGGCGCTGCCATCCCGCAGGCGGTGAAGAACAACCACGTCCAACTGCCTGACACTATCAGCAACATCATGGACCGCTGGACGCTGCAGATGGGCTTCCCTGTGGTGACTGTTGACACCCAGAGGGGCACCGTCAGACAGACCCATTTTCTGCTGGATCCCACATCTTCTGTGGACAGACCCTCTGTCTTCAAGTGAGTGTGGTGGGGCTGGCTGGGAACTGGGGTCAGGGGATGAGGGCCAGTCCCACCACCTGTCTGTCCACGGCACAGCTACACCTGGATCATCCCCATCACCTGGATGACAGACAGTGGCCCCGGGAACGGCATCTACTGGCTGACCAAAGTCACAGGTACGGTGTGTCCCGGCCGTGAATGGGGGTCTTGCCGCCACCTCCACTGCCGTGGCACTGGTCGGGGTTCCCAGGGAGGCAGAGGCTGTGGGGGCTGAGCCTGGCCCTCCCTGGTGGGTGGGGGTGCAGCTCTGGCAGAGCCTCCTGTCCTCTTCCCAGACACCACCACCAGCTTCAGGGTCACCAGCCCCAACTGGCTCCTGCTGAACCTCAATGTCACTGGGTACTTCCGTGTCAATTACAACCAGGAGAACTGGGACCAGCTCCTCAAGCAGCTTGACGCCAACCACATGGTACCCGGGGCACTCAGGGCTGTGGTGGGGGACCCCATTCACACCACCCCGCTCAGGCTGCCCTGAGACACTGACTTTGCTCTCTCAGGTCATCCCTGTGATCAACCGTGCCCAGATCATTGATGACGCCTTTAACCTGGCCAGGTGAGCCCTGCCTGGTGGTCTGGATGCCAGCGGGGTGAGGGGCTGGATGGGGTGGGTGCCCAGTGGGGCTGGGGAGGTGACGCTGCCCTCACCCCTGGCAGGGCCAAGTACGTCAACGTGACCTTGGCTCTGAACACGACGCGGTTCCTGAGCCAGGAGACGGAATACATGCCCTGGCAGGCAGCGCTCAACAGCCTCCAGTACTTCCAGCAGATGTTTGACCGCAGCGAGGTCTTTGGGGCCATGTCGGTGAGTGGTGCCACCCCGCCGTGCTGGGCGTCAGGGGCCAGGATTGCCCCCACGGTGGTGTGGGGGCTGCTGCCAGCGACACTGGGCACTGACTCCCTCTTGCCCCCAGAAATACATGCACAAGCAGGTGACCCCTCTCTTCAACCACTACAAGAACATCACCAATAACTGGAAGGATATCCCCAGTGGCCTGATGGCCCAGTGAGTACCGTGGCCCTGGGGCTGGGCTGGGTCCCTGGGGTGTCCCCGGCTCGCTGGGCAGTGGGCACGGCCCTGCCTCCGGCCGGCACTGGCCGGTGAGTGCCCTGTGCCGGACCCCAGCCCTCAGGGCCTCTCTCCCCCAGGTACAACGAGGTCAATGCCATCAGCACCGCCTGCTCCTACGGCGTCACTGACTGCCAGAATCTGGCCGCCAGCTACTTGCAGCAGTGGAAGAAGGGCCCCACCAACCCGTGAGTCCTCGGGAGCCCCGGTGCTGTGTGTGGGGTCAGGATGGGCGCGGCGAGGGGCTCCTGGCACTGACGGCTCCTACCCCAACAGGGTCCCCCCGAACCTGCGCTCAGCCATCTACTGCAGCATGGTGGCCACGGGCGGGGAGGATGCCTGGGACTTCCTCTGGGAGAAGTTCAAGAACGCCAGTGTGGTGTCTGAGGCTGACAAGCTCCGCACAGCCCTCTCCTGCAGCCCCCACCCCTGGATCCTCAACCGGTGCGTGTGGGGTTGTCACGATCCGCTCGTGCGGGGTGTCGTGATGGTTCCTTCGCTGATCCCAAAAGTGCAAACAGGCAAACGGCAGGCCCGTCAGTTTAATCACAACAAATGCACCTTTGTTGTGGTACCAAATGTGATAGAGGGGACAGAAAAGGGAAATAAAGAATAGAGAGAAAAGAGGGGAAGGGGAATTATAGCTACCACTGTCGAGCAAGGTCCTCAATGGTCCAGCCACATGGATTCGTTGTTGTCCGTGGGGGTTACCCAAAGTCTTCCCAAAAGGTTACAGTTCATACAGTCCTTAGCCAAAGTGACTGGCATCTGGCCAGAAGGTGGCAAGACTGATGGGCCATTGTGAGGAGCTCCGTGGTCTGTGAATCAGCTGCTGGCAAGCAGGACAAGCCACACCCTGTGCTTGTCACACCTGTTTGAATGCAGCACACCTGCAAACAGACCCTTGGCAAGTGTCCACATCCACCTCGGCCAGGCCAGAGCTCCTGCCAGGGGTCTGCAGGGTCCTTGCGAGGTCGTGAGGCAGATGCAGGGAACTGCGGACCGTCTCTCACAGGGGTCTGGCTGGCACAGCGGTGTGTCCCCACCAGCCCATCACCCTCATCATGTGCACTGCCCCTGCCAGCCCCTCACCCCCTCGTTGTGTCCCTCCAGGTACCTGCAGTACGCACTCGACCCCACAAAGATCCGGAAGCAGGATGCCACCTCCACGATCAACAGCATTGCCAGCAACGTCGTGGGGCAGTCCCTGGCCTGGGACTTCATCCGTGGCAACTGGAGGACACTCTTCACCCAGTGAGCGCCGCGGGGGGCTGGAGGCACCCTGTCTGCCTGCGCCCCTTGAGGGTGGCACTGTCCCTTCCCCTGTCCCTCCCCCTGGCTCAGCACACTTCTGCTCTCCCAGGTATGGGGGCGGCTCCTTCTCCTTCTCCCGGCTGATTTTATCGGTGACCCAGCGCTTCTCCTCAGAGTTTGAGCTGCAACAGGTGAGGCCAGGGACCCCAGCCTTGGCAGAGCTGCCCTTGAGAGGGGATTTCCTGCCCCTTGTGTGCCCAGGGGTCCAAGAGGTCCTTCTCCTTGTCACGGGCTGCTGGGTGCCTGCTGGGGTGGTGGCAGGGGTGCCCAAGGGCTGTCAGAGTGCTCCTGGAGGCTGTTGGGGTGCTGCATGGGCTGCAGGAAGCTGTTGGGGTGCTCCTGGAGGTTGTTGAGATGGTGCTGGTGGCTCTCAGGGTGCTATTTGGGCTGTCAGGATGATGTTGGGTGGTGTTGGGGGCTGCTGGAGTGGTGCTGGGGGCTCACAGAGGCTGTTGGGGTGCTCCTGGTGTCTGGTTGGTGTCTGGCCAGGGAGCAGCTGGGAGATGCTGGGGTGGTGCTGGAGTGCTCACAGGGGTTGTCAAGGGCTGGAGTGCTCACAGGGGTGTTCCTGAGGGGTCCAGCGGTGCTGGAAGCTGCTGGGACCTGCCAGGGGTTGCCGGGCCCGTGCCCTGCCTGCTCCAGCCCCATCTCTGCCTGGCAGCTGGAGCAGTTCAAGAAGGACAACCAGGACATCGGGTTTGGGTCGGGGACACGGGCGCTGGAGCAGGCGCTGGAGCGGACCCGCGCTAACATCATCTGGGTGAAGGAGAACCAGGCCACGGTGCTGGAATGGTTTGAGAACGAGATCAAGAGCAGATAACAGGAGCCCCACGGTGCTGGAATGGGTTGAGAACGAGATCAAGAGCAGATAACAGGAGCCTGCACTTCCCTGGCCACCAGGACGGGCCCTCGGCCTCTCCCGACTCCCTCACCCCCGGACCCCCGGACCCTCGGCCGCTGCCGACCACTCACTCCATCCCCCGCACTGCCAGGGAGGGGCTGACGCCTGCATGATGGGCACTGGGAACTTGGGGGATTGGCAGGGGCGGTCGGGCTGGTGTGCTCTGGGCTGTAAATAAAAACCCGCCCGGTTTGCAGGGGCACCCTGCGTGCTGGGGCCGCGCTCTGGGGCTGCGACACGCCGGGTAGGAAGCGGCAGGGGCAGCCCGGGGCTGGCTGTGAGCCCCCGGCTGTTAGGAGCCCGGTGCTAAGTGGTTCTGGGGGCTCTGCTGACGCCAGCCCCCAGCCCCTCTGTCTGACAGCTGCGTGTGAGCTCTCCTGCTGGGCCCGCTCGGGGCACCGGCACCGGGACCCTCTGCCCGCGCTGCTCCGGGCAGGTGCTGCAGGGCCGGGCAGGGCCGGGCGGGGACAGCGAGGAGGGACCGTCCCTCTGGGCCATCCTGCGCCCCGAAGGGACGGAGCTGCCCTTGGGCACAGGGACGGGACCCCAGCAGCTGGGAGCCAGGTCCGTGGGGCAGGGGACGGCCCTGGTGGCGAGTCCCTCTGCCACCTCAGCCCTGGGACACGGCCGGGCTGTGGGCTGGGCTGGCAGTGGGCGCCCTGGGGCAGTGCCTGGCCGTGTGTGTGGGGTGCCAGCCCGAGGGTGCTCACAGCCCTGCCCCTGCTGAGGTGCAGCCAGCAGGTCCCACAGAGAGGACCAGGGGAGCAGCTCTGCGGGTGGCTCTAGTGAGGATCCTGGTGTCTGTTCCATCCTGTGCAGCTCTGCAGCATGGCCATGCCACTGCCCCACGGCCATGCCACTGCCCCACTGCCCCACTGCCATGCCACTGAGCCTGTGTGGGCTCTGTGTCCAGGGGTGCAGGCAGCTCCAAGCCCACAGCCTGGGGTGCAGCTGGGCAGGAGAGAGGCTGCAGCAGGAGCTGGGAAGATGAGCCTGGCTGGGGCCCAGGGGCTGCTGAGCTGTGTGGGAAGAGCTGTGTGAGGTCAGCGGCTGTGGGACACCCCACCTTGCACCCCCTGCCACCCACCCCACGAGGACCATCCTCCACCCCAGCCCAGGGGTTGCAGGAGCAGGGGCTGGGCCAGGGAGGGTCTTTGTGTCCCTGGTGAGGTGTGGGTAGCTGGGACCCAGGTGCAGGGATCCTGCAGTGCCCTGTGTCCGTCAGACCTGCCCTGGAGGCTCCAAGCAGCAGGAGGGAGGTGTCCTATTACCCGTGGCTGTGCCAGGTCTGTGAGGAGGCTCCAGGTGGTGGCTGGGGATCCTCTGAAGCTCTGTGAGGATCCCTGCAGCAGGGCTGTGGGGGGTGACCCTACATCCATCTCCTGACCCCCAAGCACCTCTGGGGCAGTGCCCGCTGCAGCCGGGCTGCAGAGGGGTGACCCCTAGACCCCCGTCCCCATGCCGGGAGCCCCGTGCAGCTGCGGGGGGATCCCTGCCCCGCACCCCTTCCTGCCCCAGGGCACAGGGGGGCTCTGCCGAAGGAGCTGGGCTGCGTGTTGAGTCTGGCCCTGGGTGGGGGCTGTTCTGCGAGCGTCCGGGGGTAACCCCGGCTTTATGTGGGCCGGGGGTGCGGGGCGATGCCTCTGCGCCCTCCTGGAGGCACCGAGCTCCCCCAGCTCGCCCCGCTCCGGGCGGGCGGCAGGAGCCTGGGAATGCCGGGCCCATTTGCAGAGGTGTCAGATCTGACTCCTTCGCTCCTTAATTGGCCCTGCCGGCGCTGGGAAGTGTGCGGGGACCCATTCACACGGCCGTGAGAGATGCTAACGTGCCGCCAGCCCCGCAGCTCCGGGCCGGCTCGCCCCGCACCGCACCTCCCCGCACAGCCAGAGGCAGCCCAGCCCGGGACTTGACCTTGCAATGCCAGGGCTGCCAGCCCGGGCACCGGGCACGGCAGTGCCCGCAGCTCCCTGCGCTCTGCCCGGCCCCGGGGCGCTGTGCGAGCTCCGCCCGGGCTGACGGCCCGAGGGACGGGGGTGCGCGGGGTGCGGTGCCCGGCTGGGGGCCGGGGCTCCCCTCCCGAGACACCCCGGCACCGGCCGTGCTGCTCCCGTCCCCGCAGCCGGACGGGATGCAGCCCCGGGCGGCTGCAGACAAACTGCGGCATCTGGGGACCCGCCAGGCTGTGCCCCTGCTCGGTTTGGGGGTCCCTGTGCTGCTGCGGGTTGGGGTCCCCAGGGCACTGGGGTGCTGGGTGCCAAGGTCCTGAGGGTGCCGGGGGCAGGGGTCCCCCGTGCAGATGGGCTGAGGGAGGGCAGGGGGCGAGGGGGCTGTTTGCCAGGCGCTCGGCAGCGCTGACCCCCGCAGCAGACACAGCCCCAGGCCGCGGTGCCCATCCCGGACAGAGGGACAAGCATGGCCCCAGAAACCACACAGGCCTCTGGCCCGGGATCACGGGTCCCCAGTGGGCAGGGACGTGTCCTGGGAGGTCCCAGCAGGGCAGGAGGGCTGGGGGCTCCCGGGGGCACAGCCTGAGCTGGGCACTGAGCTGGGCACTGACCAAGCTCTGTCCTGGTGCCTCATGGCCCTGCACCCTTCTCCACTGATAGGGGCTGAAGGGATGGGGGAACCCACCCTGCTTCCCGGGGTGAGGGGCTGCAGGGTGTCCTGCTGGCACCAAGAGCTGGAATCAAACCCTCTAACACTGTAATTTCAGTATTAGAAAGTAGCTTTATTTCAGTGCTGGATGTGCAGAGGACGTCTCCTACTACCTATACCACAGCTGGCTAACAGACTAGTTTAAATCTTTGTAAGTTATTAATTATATTTCCCAAAACTCATAAATGTATGCCAAACAGTCCCGCAAATCCCTTTGCATATTTATATCCCTTTTTGGAGCTTATTTACATATGAATACGGGTCTTTGAAGGTCTCTAGTGCTTGTTTGGGGAACACCCCATTCCTCAAATTATGAAAAAATGTCTTCTCTTTGAATTCATCCCAGCTCTGTGGTCTAGCCAAGATAGATCTTTTTACCACTGTTGGTCAGGCCCACAGTCTTTAAGGCCAAGATAACCACACATTAATACAGCACAAAGCACTTCTGGCTGAAGCTAAAGGAATTCACAAGACTTACACACTCTTTGTTAGAATTAAGGATTTTCCCAACCCTGCGGGAGCTCTGACCCCGCGGCCGGTGCTGCCCCGGCCCAGCCGCACTCCAGCACTTGTCCAAACAGGGAGGTGGGAAGCGGCTGCGGCGGGTGCAGAACTCATTACCCGGGAGCTCATCAGCTAATGCGGCCCAGGAGGGGGCCGGCAGCGGGAAGGGGCCGTGCCTGGCCCGGGCCGTGGGGTGCAGATCTCCCCTCAGACACCCCTGCGCCCCAGACAGGGCTGGATGCTGGAATGGGGCTGCCACTGGTGGCCTCGGATGGGTTGGGTCAGTGCTGGGCACTGCTCAGACGTGCACACAAGGTTTGGGGTCCCGTGCCCCCCCGGCTGTATCCCCTCAGCTGTGCCCCCAGCTTTGTGGGGACCCTGTGCCCCTCACGTTCCGCACACCCCGCTCGGGGGGTCCTGCACCCCGCAGTACCAGCGGGCTGTGCACACCCACTTCGGGGGTCCTGTGCCCCTGGGCCAGGCTGTGCACAGCAGCTCTGGGGGCCCGTGCCGTGCCACGCCCGTGTCCCCTTGCTCCCTGATGGATTTTCCGGGCCTCGGCGGGGCTGTTTCCCGGGAAACCTTCACACCCGCCGGCCCGACACCTGCGGGCCTGGGAACGCGGCGGGAGGGCTCCTCCCAGCCCCGGCCCCGGCCCTCCACACCGGCTGCCCGTGGGGGCTCCCCTGCCTCTGCCAGCCCCGCGGGGTCCGGCGGGGCGGTGGGAGACCGGCACCCCCAAACCGGGCGGGGGGTGTCCCACAGAGCCGCAGAGGCAGCTCCTGTCGGGGTCACGCTGCCGGGAGAGACGCAGGGACGCGCCACCGCAGACCCACCGCAGACCCCACTGCAGCCCCATCAGAGCCCCACAGCACCCCCGGGGCACCCCCACTGCAGCCCCACTGCAGCTCCCCCAGCAGAGCTACTGAGCCCCCGCTGCAGCTCCCGGGTGGGTCCCGGCCCCGGCCCCGGCCCCGGCCCCGCGCGGGGGCGAGGGGCAGCACCGAGCGGCTTCACACCTCTGGGGTGAAATCCGTCACCCCGCGCTCACAGCCCCCCCCAGACCCCCGGCCTTTGAAGTGCTGCAGCCGCCGAGGTGCCTCTTCACACCTCGGGCCCGGCATAAAGCCGGGGCGGCGGCAGCGCCCCGCACAGCGCTCCGCCGCCGCTCCGCCATGGCCCACGGCCGCACGCTGCCCGCCGCCGCCCCGCCGCAGGACCGGGGCGACCTCCGCACCGCCGGGACCCCCGGGGCACCTCCGGACCCGCTGGGCTACAGCAGCAGCTCCCCCGCGGCATCGCCCGACTCCTGCGGCCTCGCCTCGCCCGCCGCGGCGCGGGGGCCCTGCCGCGGGCACGGCGCCCCCCGGCCCCGGGGCAGGAAGGGGGCGCGGGGCGGCGGGGCGGGGGTCCCGCGGCAGAGCGCCAGCGAGCGGGAGAAGCTGCGGATGCGGCGGCTGGCGCAGGCCCTGCTGCGGCTGCGGCACTACCTGCCGCCCGCGCTGGCGCCCGCCGGCCAGACCCTCACCAAGATCGAGACCCTGCGCCTCGCCACCCGCTACATCGCCCACCTCTCCGCCCTGCTGGGGCTCGGCCGGGGGGCGCCGGCGCCCCGACACTGTCCCCTCTGCCCGCGGGGCCTGGGCTGCTGCCAGGACACGCAGCCCCGCGCCGCTTCGCCGCCCCGCACCGCGGGCTGGGGGTCGCCTCCCACGGCGGTGATCCCCCCGCAGCTGCACGGGGCTCCCGGCATGGGGACGGGGGCCTGGGGGTCGCCCCTCTGCAGCCCGGCTGCAGCGGGCACTGCCCCAGAGGTGCTTGGCGGTCCGGAGATGGGCTTAGAGACCTGGGGATCCCCCCCCTACACCCCTGCGGCAGGGACCCTCCCAGATGTGCCTGGGGGTCTGAACATCGGAATGGAGACCTGGGGGTCTCCCTCCTACATCCCTGCAACCGGGACCCCTCCAGAGGTTCTTGGGGTCTCCAACATCCAGACGGAGACCTGGGGGCCAGCCCCCTACGTGCCTGCAGTGGGGACCTCCTCAGAGCTGAACACGGCTGTCACCTCCACTGCGTCCCCCTGGCTGACCCCTCCCCACTCTGCAGGGGCTGTGTCCCCCCCGGAGCTCCCTGGTGATGTCCTGGACGTGGGCCTGGTGCTGTCAGAGTTCGTGGGCACAGGGACAGTCACCCAGGTACGTGCTGGGGGGATTGAGGTGACTCTCGGCATGGGGCTGGCGTGGGGCAGGGATCAGCCCCCTCTCAGGGTGGCCTCAGAGTCCTCTTGGTGTGGGGTGGCACAGGAGCTGGTTTTGGGGTAACAACGGCCTTGTCTGGGGCAGGCAATGGAGAGGTGAACCCTGCTCTGTGGAGTGGCTGAGGTGGATCCCCCAGCCTGCCCCGTCTTTCCTGCTGCTTCCCTCCCTCATGTTTGTGGGGATCCCATTAGTGGGGACCGGGTGGAGTCCGTTGTCCTGCTTGTCCCTGCCCAGGAGCCTTTCCAGCGGGTGGGCTGCCGCTCCCACGCCCCCAGCCCTGCCTGCAGCTCTGGCTGGCTGCTCACCCTCTCTCTGTCTGCTCCCCAGGATCTCTCTGCGGACCTGCTCTCGCTGCTGGAGGCTCTGTTCCCTGCACCGCCCCGGCACTGACCCGGGCGAGGCCCGGAGCACCACGATGCCCGTCTGGAGCCCTGCAGCCCGGGGACACAGCGGCCCTCGGGACAGCTGCAGGAACAAGCTGCCCCTCGGAGCCTGGAGCCGTGCTGGCCGCGCCGGGTGCCGTGCTGCTCTGAGCTGGATGTGAATAAACCCTCGTGCCCTCTCTGAGTGTCCGTGTGGCTGTACGGGAGCTGGGCACGGAACGGGGGTTGGCATGCCTGGGGTCTCCTCGCTGGGCTGCTGGGCTGGGGGCTCTGGGGGAGCCAGGCACCAGCTGGGAGAGCAACCCAGGGCAGGATCAAGAGAGATGCTGCCCTTGCCCTCGGCCTGATCCCCGGCCAGGAAAGGCTGAGGATCCCCAGCACCCTGCAGATCCACCTTCCCACCTGGCAGTTCTGGGCCCCTGGGAGCTCCCAGTGCAGGGTGAGACGGGTGGATTTGGAGTCCAGCTCTGGGTGGGCGTGGGCCTGAGCCCACAGGCTGGAGATCTTGCCAGGAGCCGGTGAGGGGGACCCTATGCCCCCAGCCCCCTTGGTGGCTCCCTGAAGTCTGGGGTCCCCATTAGCAGGAGGGTGTTGGGACCTGGCAGCCCTGTGCTAAATGTGTCAGGGGAGTATCCTCCCAGCTCTGGGGTCTGGGGTGAAGGGCGGGAGGTTAATGAACCCCATGGAGTGTGAAAGGACTCTCTAATGAGGTTAATATCCTCTGCTGGGGCGGAGGAGGGGCGTGACAGAAGGGGAGACAAGCCTTTGAGGTGTAAAGCAGCCCCCTGGCCTGAAGCCCCCCACTCTCCAGCCAGGGCTGAAGGGACCTGGGCACGTGCTCCAGCCACGGGGACACTGCCATGGGGCTGACCACAGTCTGGGGGAGCAGCGGGCAGCCACAGGGAGGCAGGAGGGACCTGTGGGTCTCTGGGCCCCCCAAATGCTGCACCTCAATGCAAGGAGCCCCTGTGTGCTCTGATAGCTGGCCCTGGCAGCAGCACTGCCAGACCTGGGGGGCACGGGCAGTGCCCCCTGTGCTGGGGGGCTCCGTCCCACAGATGTGGGACACATCACAGTGTCCATTCCTGTGTGTGAGCACCGCGCACGCTTACGTGTGTGTCCGTGTGCTGTGGGTGGCAGGGGAAGGACCGTGCTGTTCTGAGCTGCTGCCTACGTCAAGGACCATCCAGAGCTGCCAAGGGCGCCCACGGCGCAGCAGCTGCGGCTGCAGCAGCAGGTGCTGCCTCTCTGCAGGACCTGCCCCGGTACCTGCCCTGCTCCCCGCTGCCCCTCGTGCCCCCGAGCAGATGCAGGAGCCCTCAGCACAGAGCCTCGGCGCTGTGTGAGCATCAGCCCTGCCATGGCCTGGCTGGGGAATGCCGGGCAGGACGCCCTGGACGCAGGTGAGGCGGGGGGAACGGGGGGAACGCTCCTCCAGGCGTCATTGTTGGGCTGGGTGGGGTCACCGTCCCAGGGAGATGGTGAGGGGTACTCCGGGCAGGGAGGGGGGCACAGCAGTAATGGCCTGAGGCGGGTGGTGAGCTGGGGTCAGCCTCCATTGTCCTCCTCTGCCCTGCTTGGTGCCAGGGGCCCCCGTGGCTCTGGGGGCATGGAGGGGCTTTGGGGGCTGCTGGAGGCTCTGGGGTAGCTGCAGGGTGCAGCGGGCAGGCAGGGATGGAACACAGGGAGGTGAGCTCAGAACACGGTGTTGGCACCGTGGCCCCAGGCAGGGGGCTCTAGGGGACAGGACCCACAGTGCTGAGTGTGGCCTGCCCCACGCAGGCTGGCCCCCCACCCCTCAGGGCTGCCACTGCCCCTTCCCTGTTGTGGCAGGTAGGGGCCATCCAGACCCAGGCCCTGCGGTGGGAAACAGCAGCGCGGAGCCCCCCAGCGTGACGCCCCCCGAGTGGGGCTGCGCCTGGAGCCCCCCCGAGGAGAAGGGCGAGGAGCCCCTGCGGCTGCCCACCTTCTCCCCGGCCGCCCAGGTGCGTGTGGCCGTCACCTTCGCCCTCTTCGCCCTCTCGGCCGGCTGCAACCTGGCGGTGCTGCGGGCGGTGGGGGGCCGGGGCAGCGGCCGGCGCCCCCACATCCGCCTGCTGCTGCGGCACCTGGCCGCCGCCGACCTGCTGGTCACCGTGCTGGTGATGCCGCTGGACGCCGTCTGGAACATCACGCTGCAGTGGCGGGCGGGCGACCTGGCCTGCCGCCTGCTCATGTACCTGCGGCTGCTGGCCATGTACGCCTCCGCCTTCGTCACCGTGGTCATCAGCCTGGACCGGCAGGCCGCCATCCTGCACCCGCTGGCCATCGCCCGCGCCCGCGCCCGCAACCGCGCCATGCTGCACGTGGCCTGGGCGCTGAGCGCGGGGCTGGCCGTGCCGCAGGTACCCGCCCGGGGTGGGCACAGGCCCCAGCCAGCCCGGCCATGCTGCCAGGGCCGGTGCCACCGAGCGGCCTGCAGGGTGGGCACGGGGAGCTGGCAGTAGAGCGGCCGTGGCGGTGATCCCCCCTCACCCAGCGCTGCCCGCTGCCGGGGTGCCCCCAGGCTGCTGTCAGTGCGCAGCAGAGCCGGTGCAGGGGCGGTGACAGGTCCCCCCTGCCAGGCTGGCTCTGTCCCTGTGGCTCTGGGGGTCCCTGGCTCGGGAGGCGCAGACCCCCACCATCCCCATCCCGCCTCTCTTGTCTGCAGCTGTTCCTGTTCCACACCATTACCCTGCGGCCCCCGCACAACTTCACCCAGTGCACCACGCGCGGCAGCTTCCCTCGGGCCTGGCACGAGACCCTCTACAACATGGTGGGCTTCGCCTGCCTCTTCCTGCTGCCCCTGCTCATCATGGTCTGCTGCTACGCCCGCATCCTGCTGGAGATCTCCCGCCGCATGGGCTCGGGCCTCTGTGAGTGCCAGGCGCCACGGGACACAGCCCCACGCCCAGGGGGTGTCTGGAGCTCTGCAGGGACCCCCCGGCTTTCCCCCAGGCGTGGGGTCCTGTCCCAGCCCCGCTTCCCCTCACGGGCCGTGCCCCACCAGTCTCCTCGCAGGACGCGTCGCTGCGGTGCTCCAGGAACAACATCCCCCGGGCCCGGCTGCGGATGCTGCGGATGAGCCTGGTCATCGTCTCCTCCTTCATCCTCTGCTGGACCCCCTACTACCTGCTGGGGCTCTGGCACTGGTTCTGTCCCCGCGCCATGGAGAAGAGGATCTCGCCGGCCCTCACCCACATTCTCTTCATCTTTGGCCTCTTCAACGCATGCCTGGACCCCATCACCTACGGGCTCTTCACCATCCCCCTCCGGGGGGGCTGGGGGTGCCCCTGCAGGCACGGCCCCCTGGCCCAGCCCCCCTCCCCAGCCACCGGCTCCTTCCGCTGCTCGGCCTCCTCCCTGCCGCCCCAGCGGGGAGCCCAGGGCGTGCGGAGGTCCCGAGGGGCTGCCAGGGACCCCTCCTGCCACAGCAGCTCCCTGTGAGACCGGCACGACCCTGGGTGCTCAGGGCAGGGCGGTCTGGCAGCAGCACGGCCGGGTCAGCACAGGTCCAGGGGATGGAGGCACTGCTGACCTCTCCCTGCACCCCAGAGTGCCTCTGGGGGCTGGGGGCTGGTGGGGTGCCCCCGTCCCCTCTCCCTTCTCTGTGCCCTGAACAGCAATAAAGTGTCCTCGGCCACCTCTTGTCCCTGCCGTGTCCCCCAGCTGGTGTCCCCAGAGCCAGCACCGCGGGGTCACAGCTGCCCCCGTCCCCACCGTGGGTGGCTCAGGAGTCCCCAGGTGGGGGCCGATTCAAGGCCGTCCCAGCCAGGCCAGGGCTGGTGCTTCCCTCCCTGTTCATCCCCCCAGGGCTGTGTCCCAGTGGGCGTAGGGCTGATCCCTGCCAGGGCTGATCCCTGCCAGGGCTGGTGGCAGTCCCAGGGTGCTGCTGCTGCCGGCTGTGCTCCAAACAGGAGCTCCTGGCCCCTGCCCAAGGCTGTTGGGAGGCTCACAGGGCCAGTTGTGCCGCCTGCAGCCGCTGCCCCAAGGCCAGCGCTGCCGCAGAGCCAGCAGGGCTGCTGGGGCCCGCAGAGGTGGGGAGGGCTGTGGCTGCCTGGCCCCTCACTCCCCCAGCACCACCAGTACTGCCAGAGGAGGGACAGCCCAGCAGAACTGCCCTGGCATCCCCCAGCCTCAGGGAAGCACCCAGAGCTGGGCTGTGCCCGGGGTCCCCCCGTGCTGCGGAGGGACGCTGGGCTCCCCGGGCTGCCCAGTCCCCATGGCACAGGGGGACCCCGTCACAACCCAGTGCCAGCGTGGCCTCACAGGGCTGGGGCACGGCAGGGCTGCTGCTCCTGCCGGGGGGCTCTGGCTCCTGAACCTGCCCCTGGGCCAGGAGCAAGCGCAGCTGGTGCGGGCAGGGGGACAGGGCAGGAGGGCAGGCAGAAACTGTGCCCAGTAACAGCAGTGCCAGCCATGCTTGCAGGGATTTATTTCAGAGTGGCAAAGGAAAAGTCATGTAGAGTTGCTTCAGCACTGAAAAATGATCTCACACCTGCTTGAGGGCTGGAGGGACAGCACACCAGTAGCTCCAGGGGTCTTGTGGGGCTCCAGGGAATGAGGGGCTGCAGTCCCAGGTGTGTGCGGGTCCTCCGTGCTTCTGGGGCAGGGATGGGGCTTCCCTGGCACGTGTCCACAGGGTGGGGGGAATGTGTGAGGGGGCTGAGTCTCAGGCACAGACTCGTGTGAGTATGAAAACACCACCTGGTACGGGCACACCACCTGCTGCCAGCCTGAGAGGGCTGCGAGGGGAGGAGCTGGGAGAGGCAGAAGACCACGCAGCAAAAAGCCTTCCCTTGCTGGATGCTGCTGCTGCTGGGAGCGCCCTGCCCGCCGCAGGACGGCTGGGGTGCACGCAGACCCCCGGCCCACGGGCAGCTCTCCTTGGGCTGAGGGCACTGGGGGTGCCAGGTGGGCCAGCACTGCCCCTGCCCTCGGCGGCTGCACAGGGCTCCAGGGGCAGGGGCGCGTGGCCATGGCAGTCACCTCGCAGCCACGGTTTGCCCCAGTGCTGGTCCCACCCGCGTCCCAGGGCGGCCAGAGAACGGGGACAGCGTGGCCAGGCGAGGGGACAGGGCAGGCCGGTGATGGCAGGTGGGAGGTGATGCCGGGGGACGCCAGCGCTTGGGTGGCTGTGTCACCCGGCTCAGCAGTGCCA